CATCCAACAGTGTCTCATATCAGGACGAGACTGCTCCCCAGTGCTTCCAGGTTTCTAATGGTAGTGTAACAATCATTGATTGATGATTTCAGAGTGTAAAATCACTGATCTCCATGACTCTAATTGAAAATATAAGACCACTAACTTCGGTTGTGAACTTTTTATTTAATATTAGACGTTAAATCAATCCTAAATATTCCATTATAATTTAATTGTTTCTTCGATTCATTCAGTTGATGATAAGACCAGATAAATTTGTATTTTAGTTACTTTAAAACTCAGAATACGAATTGAGATGTCACTTAACTGATCAAATAATAATTTTTCCTTTCTACTCAGCACTAACTCTCTGTGATTGTTTCAGTCGGTTCTTTAAAAAAAATACTCAGTTCAGGCAAATCTTTCATCAACACTATTCGCCATAGTCAAATATATGTTGAAAATCAATATTTTCAATTTTGAACATTGACATCTTACATACAGTTCAATGAAAGTGAATAAGAATTAAAAACAAAAGTGAATAAATAGTACATACTGTTATATCTCGACAAAATAACAGTTCTTCTTTAGTGATAGGTTTAATTCGACCAGTTGTTAGACTTGTAGAAATAGCCTACGGTAAAAAATAATTATAAAAGCATAATGTGAATATTATTCACGTTAAAGATATCAATAGATCTCGTTTAAAAAAACGTCAGTTTTGACGAGTGAGTAGGTAAGTAAGTAAGTACTTTTACAATGGATTATCTAACTGTTGAAAATTGACTAGAGGGAAACATAATTTATTTTGAGATGATCACTATACAATTGAAGACATTTTTCTCACAAGTAGCACAAGTTGTGTTATGGTAAGCCATTGTTCAAAGTTTATGAGCCTACAAAAATTCAGAAGATTTTAAGTTTCATCTTGGTGAAAGCTATTAAACAGTTCTGAGGGAAAAAAAAATCAGCAACTGAACTCAAATTGTTTAAAATCTAATGTTCTAATCATGATACTTATGAAAGCTTCTTAGAATAAATTTATATACATTTGAAAATCGATAAATTCTTTGGTTTGTATATATATTATACATCATCTTCATTGAGAAGATTCATTCCTCCAAAGCGATTGTAATTTACCAGTTAACAACTAACTGGTATGTATTGGAAAGTATTATTCCACAGTATTCTGTTCTTACTGCTTTGCACTCAACTAGATTCAAACGAGATCAAGGATAAGAGGAGGAAAAAAGTAAAAATTCCAAATAACTGAAACGAATTTAGACTGATTAGTGAAAACGCAATCGTTTATATGTAGAATTTGGCGGAGGAATTTCTAGTGTAGTCTTGAACCATTCTTTGAACGGATTGGTAGAAGATGAGCGTACAATCTGTAGTATTCTATTTTGTCATGACAAACCATCTAAGAAATACAAGTGAATAAAGAAATACATGTCGAAACTATTCAGCGATGGTGGAGAAAATATGCAGCTCAAGTGGATGATTGTGGTGGTGGTGTTCGGCTCTCTGAGCTGAATGTGTTGGTTGTGGAGCTTTCATTGTTCTTCGTCTGAACAATATCATCAGCACAAACTTCCGATAGCAGAAGTGAAGCATTCGAATTTCTCCGCGTTTGGCCCGTAGCTTGTTCTGCTAACCTCGATCTTGACCTTAAACCTGTTGTTGTTTGCCGCTTTGTTCTGATTGTATCCCCCTTTTGATTTGTTTCTTGATCCTATGTCACCTATGATGTGCAAACAACGACAGGTTTAAGGTCAACAACAACCAATCAAGATCGAGGTTAGCAGAACAAGCTACAGGTCAAACGTGGAGAAATTCGAATGCTTCACTTCTGCTATCTGAAGTTTGTGCTGATGATGTTGTTCGGAAGAAGAAACAATGAAGGCTCCACAACCAAAACACCATCCAGCTCAGAGAGTCGAAAACCACCACCACAAACCATTCAGCGTCTACGCATTATTTGCAAATTAATTTATTAGCCGTCAATAATAAACATTAAAAAAAGAAACTATACTTACTTTAACTATTTCACGAAGTGTATTTTGAGAATCATCTTTTGCCAGGATATAATGTTTGACAGGTCGCAATTCCATAACGGACTGTAATATGCTACATAGGTATTATATATATAGAAAAATAGAGATTTCACTCAAAATATGATGAGCTGTTTTAGAAAATAATGTACAAAGGTATTTGCTATCTCTAAAATGATAACGTTGAAATCACTCGGCGTAGTTTCATCAGTGACATAGGCTAAACAGTATGTTAGTGAACTTTTACAATAAGCTATTGCAGTTGTCTGCATAATGTAGCGATGGAGGATTGCTATCAACTTTCATTGACTATGGTAAATCCATTCACTAGTTGGTTACGAGTGATAACCACTGTCTTTTTCTAAGTTTTTGGGTTAACTAAATTCAATCAATCAGTTTAAATGTGGTCACTAATAGAAATGAGTCGAAAAAGAGTGAATTATATTTGCTTTCTGTCATAAAAATGTTGATACAAAGATCTAATTGTATATTTACCTGGTTAAGTCACGTATGTGTATCGTAGGCAGAATATTATTCCCATCATCTGGCACTCCAAGAGATTCTTCATTACTCCATGCTGACTGGAAATGTATGTATAAGATAAATTAGACAAAGTGATTTATCGTTTCAAATAATTCATTCAGTGAGTAAACTACTTACAATAACAAGATAACGATATGTTTGTATCGTTTCTGAGGTTCTGTGATTTGCTGTAGGTCATTTTTTAAGAAAAAATAACTCTAAACTTGTGCTAACTTATGCGAGGGAGATTAAAAATTAATTTTTGTACCATTAGACACTGATTCAGTGATCCAAGGATTAAGAATTAGCTTTGGAGCTTAGGCTCTAGGTTCTTCGTTCAGTGGCAGTGGCATCAAAGCACGCTTTTAAAGTTCCATACTGTTTTCAAGTTTCGAATGGTTGTCTAAATTAGATCAAACCATGGCATTAATAAGATGCAACAATCTCCACGATGGTTAAAAATTTATTGTTATAAGTGAACTGATAAATATTGTAATGGTTCAACACAGTACTACCAACCAACATAAAAAATAAAGTGAATTCACATGAATAATCTACCTTAAAGAAGTGGTGAAATACATTTTCTTTCTCTCCATAAGTTAGGCCACAAGCAATAACATAAGTAAGTAATTTTAATTTATTCTGAAGAACAAAATCAGTTACATAGTTGTGTTAATTACTGTTTTTCCTTGTTGTATAACTGATTTTTCAGCCAATATATGCTCTCTGAAGTTTGAATGAGATTTTCTCCTCAAATAATCATCATCTGTAAAAGGCATTTCAGGATCATCCTGTGTTAATGTTTATAAAAATCAATTACATACTGGATCTGGAAGTGTACTTTTAGACCATGTTAGGACAGACGAGATAAGAATGAATATCTTTTGTGTTGTAAACGATTCTAAATTATTATGAATTTGATCCAGTATCCATAAAGCATCATCAATAACAGTGTGATCATCTTTAATATTGTAAATAATAAAGTCACATTCCATAATTTTTTCAATATAATTTTGACGTTTCTCATCCTGTAAGCAGGAATTAAAAGAAAGTAAAAAAACTAGGCATCACTTGATTATTTTGATAATTAAGGTTAATGAAAAAGGTGATAAGATGGAAGGAAATATCCCATACGTTTTAAACTACAAGTACCTAATAAGTGGATTGCTTACCTTAATAGTTTATATCACGTTTGAGATTGTGAGATGATGGCAAATGAAGAAAAATAGTGATAGCTTCAAAATGTCATGGAATTAATTTTATTTGTTCATTTGAATAAGGCAGAAACCGTAATTGTTTCTGAATTGCATCCATTTATCATGTTTCTTTTATCCTGTTTCTTAAGTGACATGTAATTTTTCACAAATAATTCCTCAAAGATAAGATTATTTGCCTGCCATTCCAGAGTCTGATGATATAGTGTCCCTTAAATGAGCGCACTAACAAAAACTGGGGTTTGAAATAGTTCATCCATCTAAATGAAAGCTTTTGCTACAGGTCCGGACTGCACAAATTTCCTGTCAAGTCGTAACAGGTCAGGCAAATAAGTGTATTAAGTATACCAATTGCCTTGGAATTCTCGGCACAAGCATTGGTATGCCAAACAAATCAAGTGATGAAAGGAAGTTGTTGAAACTATTTCTGTCAGATTTCCATTAGATGGTAATAAGTCGCTATCAATCTGAAGCCAGTTGATAAGGCTAAAGTGTCAGTCAGTCAAACTTCGAACGTAATTACGTATATCAGCTCAAGTTGCCATACCAAATTAGCACAGAGGTCCAAGTATCACTTCAAATTCAATAGTAGCGGAGATATTAAAAGTATTGGCAATAATTGAAAAGACTGCAGTTGGAAGATATTATTCAAGAATCTAATGCAACACACTTAAAAGAGAAATATAGAGGTGATGGGGAATTCAAAAGGTTAGGATCAGATGGAACACAAAGAATGAATGCCCATGAGCCACTGCAAACGGTTTTGAGCCATGTCATTCAGGGCCTCCAACCATCGATTACTACCGTCTCGCGGACCCTAACATTATAGTCTACACCTACCCACATGGCTCACTCCACTTGCCAGTGACCTCATGGACTTTTTGTGGTGTTTGAATGAACTAGTAACTTCTGGTTGTTGTGGAATGCTTGATTTCGAATTCTAAATACAATACATTCGTTTGTGCATATCTTTAATTCTTGATACATATACTTCTATTTATTACACTGGCGTCGCGATGGAACTTGTAATGGAACAGCTAGATATTCATTCTACTTCTGAAGCTTTTGAAGATTATTTGGAAAGGTTTGAAATCTGGAGTATGACCAGGAAAGATGTCAAAGATGATAAAATTGTGGCTCATTTCCTAACATTCATCGGAAAAGAAGCGTACAGCTTATTGAAAACCTTGGCATATCCAGAGAAACCTATTTCACTTCCCTATGCAATGCTAAAGGAGTTATTATTGAATCATGTAAAGTGCCCCGGTTTTGAATGCCGTGAAAGAGCGAAATTTCATAAGATGATTCGTCAAAATGACCAGAATGTTAAGGAATTCATTCTTGAATTGCAGAAACAGGCTGTCAAATGTAATTTTGGTGATCAACTTCATGTGCAGCTGAGAGACCGATTAATTGCAGGAATTAACATACCTAGTTTGGAAAGAGAGCTGTTAAGAATGTCAAACTGTTCCTTTCAAGATGTTAGAACTGCGTGCATTAACTACGAGGCGTTGAATGAACTTGATATTAAGTCGATGAAGATTTCCAATACTTTGATTAGTTGTCATGATGAAAAACAATCTCACGGTCAATCAAAATTGTGTTCGTTTAACAGTGGTTCCTATTCTCGTGTAAATATGAACGGTGTCTCAAAAAAGAATTACAAAGGAAATCAAAAAGGTGAGACCAAGTTTGGCAAATGTTTATCATGTGGAAAACTTCATTCTCGTTATTATTGTACATTTCGTAATGCTAAATGTTTTAGATGTAGTAAGATAGGACACATTCAAGCAGTATGCAAAGCTACTGTTCATTTTGCCTCAAGTAGTATTAGAGCTTGTAATTTAGATCCCAATAATTCAGCTGATCCTAATGATCATTTATCTTTAACTACCATTTCGAAAGGTAATGCTCATATTCAAAAGCGACTATATACATCACTTGGTTCATTTCATGACTTTATTGTGGACACAGGCAGTATAGAGTCCATTATTTCATTCAAGAACTTGAAATCGTCAGATCCGAACGTTGTGATACGACCCACTGATGTATCAATATTGGGGATTACTGGACACAGACTGCCTATACGAGGATGTTGTGAATTGCTAATAAGAGATGATAATTCCTCATACATACCATGTGAATTCTTAGTTAGCGAAACGGGACTGTCAATACTGGGTTTAAAGAATTTGAAAAGGCTTAAAGTGGAGTTGTCTCTCCTAGTTTCTAAAGAAAATTCTGATGCTTTACTTAAAGATTCGATAGCCACGTGTGCTAAGTGCAGTGGAGGTGTGAAAACTGCTATTGATTCTATTGCCGCCTCAACATTTAATGAGCTGGAGAGGGGAGTAGATACCTTTCTACTGCAATATAGAAATGCCAGACATTCAGTGACGAAAGAGACTCCATCAAAACTATTAAAAGGAAGAATTCTTCGGTCGAATATGAGATGTTTGGAGCCTGCAGAAGTTACATATTATCGTGGCAATCAACTTCGACCATCCACGGGGATTGTTCTGAAGAATGTCGGGAAATCTATGGTGCGACTTCTAGATATCAATGACTTAAGTACACACAATCGACATGTTGGTCAAATACAATTCCAGGAACCAGGTGAGTCTGTTCCATTTTCGATTGTTAATTCTAATACTAATGAGAGCATTCTAGATAATACAGAGCCTTTACCCAATACACTGTCGGACAGACACAGGATGAATTTGAGAAGAAGACGTACAATTGATCAGAGACATATACATTCCAATTTAAGCTGTGGCGGATGTGGTGTTTGAATGAACTAGTAACTTCTTGTTGTTGTGGAATGCTTGATTTCGAATTCTAAATACAATACATTCGTTTGTGCATATCTTTAATTCTTGATACATATACTTCTATTTATCACA